GTGCTGTCGATATCTCTGTTTCTGGACGGTCCTTTTGGACCTAAACTGTTCTGAAGGAACAGTGATAGAGAAGAGTATTTCCTGCTGATCTCAGGGGCATCGCAAAGCCCCTGATTGATCCAGGAGAAAACTCTTTTTGCCAACTACAAGAGAAGTAACAAAAACGGCTGCCAAAAGGTTGGGACAAGCCTTCTGAAACAGAAGCAATACAGGAGTGTGTCAAATTGATGAGAAAAGATTTTATTATTAGAGAAGGGAAAACCCCCAAAAATTATTTAAAAAAAGAATTCAGAAATCAGAATATCAATTACCTATAATATATTTATCATTTAATATAAACAGTGGTTTTTTAAAAATTGCATTTCTAAAAACTTTCATGTTTTACTTTATTCTGTTGGATATTTGATTTCCTCTTATCTTACTGATTTTCCTATTTTTTATTTTGGGTTTATAGATCTTCAATAAATTTAAATTGTTAACGTTTAATAAATTTTAGTGTTTTATGTTTTCATTTCCTTTTTCTAGGGTAATCTTTCTGCTGTTGAATGCTTGTTGAAAAAGGGAGCTGATCCCAACATTAAAGATTATGCTGGTTGGACACCGCTGGTAACTTAAATGGTTCATTCCTTCCATTCTTCCTTTGTTCTTTACCTCACTCTTGCTGAAACTGTGTGATACAGGGGACGATTTAGATGAACTCTTTCTCAGCTTGTCCTGAAATAAATAAACTCAAATAGTTTTGAGAGCCTCTTTCTCTTGCTTTTCCTGTTATTTGTTCCTGCCTTGTTCTTTCTGAATTAAGCTAGTTTCTTTCTTCAGGTGAATTTCTATGGCATTTTCAGATGCAAGAGAAATGGATTTTAAAAGTCTAAGCAGAATCTGAAAAGTGGTAAAATACATTACGGGTAGTTACTTTGTGTTCATTTTTTTTCTGCCAGATGAAATTTAAACATAAGCTTTTTTCCTTTACTTACAGCAAAGATTCCTGGAATGATTAATTATACCTGCAAACTATCTAGTAGTCAGTCTTGGTTGCAATAAATAAAAATCTGTAATCTAGGGGCATCGGTTTCCTGCTTTATCAAGCTATTTCTTTATTATTTCTTTATTATTAAAATTTATATGCCACCCAATCCCGAAGGACTCCAGGCGGCTTACAAAAAAAAAGGGGAAAAAAAGAGAAGAAAAAAAACAAGAAGAAAAGAAAGACAGTTTAAAATCACAAAACCACATGCATTTATTCCAATCGAGGCTGGACCTCAACAATGAGGTCAACAGCCACAGGCCTGCCGGAACAGACAGGTTTTAACAGCTTTCCTAAAGGCCATGAGAGTGGGTATGGTCCGGATATCTGAGGGTAGCTGATTCCACAGCGTTGGAGCAGCCATAGAGAAGGGTCTCCTCCGGGGGACCGCCAGCCGACACTGTCTGGCTGACGGCATCTGAAGGAGGCCCAATCTGTGGGATCTTACTGGCCGCTGGGAAGTATGTGGCAGTAGGCGGTCTAGAAGGTACATTGGCCCTGAGCCATGTAGGGCTTTGAAGGTAATAACCAACACCTTGAATTGCGTCCAGAGACCAATTGGTAGCCAGTGCAGCTCGCGGAGGACAGGTGTAACGTGGGTGTGCCTCGGTACACCCAATATTGCTCGCGCGGCCGCATTCTGGACTAACTGCAGTCTCTGAACGCTTTTCAAGGGTAGCCCCATGTAGAGCGCATTGCAGTAATCCAGCCTTGAGGTGACAAGGGTGTGAGTGACCGTTTGAAGTG